CCCTTCAGGGTAGTTTTAAACTTCTGAAAATAAAAAATGGTTAACAAACTCAGTATTTTTAGTAGGGCAGGGCAGGAATGAAGGACAGAATACATTGCTTATATTTTAGGGTTTGTTGTGCCATCAAAAGGGAAGAAGGAGCAGTTGGGATGAAACAGAGTCAGTGGAATGCTTGAAAAGAGAAAGAAAAAAAGAAAGAAAGAAAGAAAGAAAGAAAGAAAGAAAGAAAGAAAGAAAGAAAAGATAGATCTCTCTCTCTCTCTCTCTCTCTCTCTCTCTCTCTCTCTCTCTCTCTCTCTCGCCCTCTCCCTCCCTTTTTTTCTCTCCTCTCCCTCCATATGAAAGATGGCAAAACTCAAAGGAATCTGTAGGGTGGGGAAGTCAGCCACCAGGCTGGAGGCCTAGGGAAGTCAAGGTTGGGATTGAACTCAAATGCCTTCTGGCAGAACCTGCCTTGCAGAGGGAGATCAGTCTTTTGACTCAGGCGGACACTGGGCTTATTGGATAAGGCTCACCCACATTCTTGAGAATGTTCTCTTTACTCAAAGTCCATCGATTCGATTCAAATGTTAATCTTGTCCCCAAACATCCTCACAGAAACAAGCTGAGTCACATCTGCTCACATATCTGGGCTCAGGGGCCCTGTCAAGTTAACACATGAGTTTAAACACCTAGAGCAGTGGTTTTCAACTTTCCTAAGGCTGTGACCCTTTCATACAATTCCTCATGGTGTGCTGACCCCCAACTATAAAATTGTTTTCATTGCTACTTCATAACTGTAATTTTGCTGCTGTTACAAATCGTAATGTAAATATCTGATATGCAGGATGTATTTTCATTGCTACAAATTGATCCAAAGCAGTTGGGACTCACAGGTTGAGAACCAATGATCTAGGGGAAGTTGGCACTGGCTTGAACTTGTGGAGTGAAAAAGTCTGCATCCTTACAAAGATTAAGCACAGGGTTTCATCTTTGGACTTCTAGGTTAGGGGAGAGTGACTCTGAGCATGTCCTTGAACATCTCTCAGCATTAACTCCCTCAGCTTTCCTAGAGGCCTATTTTTGGCCTCTTTCATCTAGAAGTCCTGGGTATAAAAGTGGTGACTGCCATCTGAATCAGGACATTCTTTCTAAAAAGCCCACCTCCCTCCCAAAAGCAGAGTCCCACTGTCTGCTGAGAATGGTCACACTGAACTTCAGGAACAAGAATGCTTAATTGCCAAGGACTCAACAAACCTGACAGCAGACCCCGTTCTAGTTCGGCTTAGGAAACCAACGGTTCTGGGGTTGACACCATTTCCTTCTGCTTGCACACTCCTTGCCTTCTCTGTTCTCAAGTATACCCTCCCTAACGCCACCCATGTTAAGAAAATGAAAACCTCCAATCAAAGCTCCGTGTGAGCCAGCCTTCTGCTGCTGTGACAAACTTCCTGTGAGAATCAGTTTGAAGGAGAGGAACTGTCTGGCCCCAGGTCTCAGGGGTTTCGGGCTGAGATTAGTCCTGGCAGTGATTTTCAAGGAGGAAACGTAATTGCTCAGCTTGGTGATGGGGGAAATGTGGACAGGCAACATATGGCAACACATGATAATTAGAAGCCGTCAGTTACAGCTGAGGTATTGCCAGCAACCCATGGCTAGGACATTGGGTATATGACCATGACCCTTGGGCCTAGCCAGAATACTCTTCTGATGAAGAGGAGATATTTGTGACATCACAAGTCAGGGGCAGTCTGTGGAGCAGAAGCAAAGGCAGCTTTAGAGAAGGGGGTCTTGCCGCCTAAGTGAAGACAGGGAGATTAGGACTCCCCTGTCCAGCTAGTCACCTCTGTGTGGCCAGTGGAGGCCAGGCTTGAGTTTTGAAAAGATGTCTGGGGCCAAGTTCCAATATCAAACATGGTTTGGGCTATGTCATCTCTATTCTTTGGGCCTCTAATCGCCTTACAGGTAAACTGATTTCAGAGGTTCAAAAACAATAGAGACAGAAATATCAGACTGTCTTTAAAAGAAAGACTGTTTTGTGATCTCTTGAGTAAAACAGTCCCCCTCCAGATCTGTAGATCTATCCACCTGTGTCAAGGGTGGGGGTGGGGTGAGGTCAAGTCACAGAGACCCACAGCAGGTCTCACCCCCTTAGATCATCCTAACTGATGGTCTAGAGTCTTCTCTGAAGTCCTGGTGTAGTGATCTTTGGCATCCACATGGCTTCAGATTAAAGCAGGTTCTAGAAGAGGGCACCAGATCTTGTTACAGATGGTTGTGAGCCACCATGTGGTTGCTGGGAATTGAACTCAGGACCTCTGGAAGAGCATTCAGTGCTCTTAACCACTGAGCCATCTCTCCAGCCCCTAAAGCAGGTTCTAGAATGGTGTCATCCAGCAAAACTAGGCAGAGTAAGTAAGTCATTTTAAGTGATCCACTAGTCACATTTGAACTAAAAGATGAGTGAACTTTATTTATTTATTTATTTTGGTTTTTCGAAACAGGGTTTCTCTGTGTAGTTTTGGTGCCTGTCCTGGATCTCGTTCTGTAGACCAGGCTGGCCTTAAACTCACAGAGATCTGCCTGCCTCTTCTTCCCGAGTGCTGAGATTAAAGGCATGTGCCACCACCGCCTGCCTGTGAAATTTATTTTAATGACCTGCTATTTAATCCAGCACAGCCAAAACGTAAGCAATTCACACATACTGTGACATCCTTTATACGTTTCACAAGTTTTCAAAATCCAAGGTGTGTCTTTCTCGATGTGTCTCAGTTCCAACTGACCACTTTTCAAGTGTGCCAAGTCATGTGTAAGTGGCCACCACAATGAAACACAGAGTCTTTTTCTGAGTTACAGATGTTTGCTACTCACAGTAGTGAAGACGTATATTTGGGCCTCCAGGGCTAGAACTTGCTCTAATGAACACGGTCCCAGACTAATCCTGCCTCTGCAGTTAAAAGCAACTGGACTTCCCACTGTCCCCCAGTCTGAGAAAACAAGACTCAGAGAGCCTCTGGTGAGGGTCTGGCCCCTGTTTCCAAGATGGCGCTTGTTACTATGTAATTGGGAGGAAATAAACACTATGTGTGCATGTGGCAGAAAGGACAGAAGCAACAATTCCCAATCATTCACAAAAGCTGTGCCCTCATTACATCATCAGCTCAGAAAGGTGTCTACCCCTTGATACTATCTCATTAAGGCATTTAAACGCAACAGGTGACTAGACCTTCAGTGCCATTTCCTCCAGGGGCTCCGCCTCACCTTGCCCTAGGCTGACTTCCATGACCTTATCCTCCCACCTCCTCATTTTCTGTTCCTCAGTACATTCCCTACTTCTTGCTGATTGAATATCACCTTTATCTTGGGATTCAATCTTTTTTTGTTGTTTTTGAGACAGGGTTTCTCTGTGTAGCTTTGCGCCTTTCCTGGAACTCACTCTGTAGCTCAAGATGGCCTTGAACTCACAGAGATCCGCCTGCCTCTGCCTCTTGAGTGCTGGGATTAAAGGCGTGCACCACCACCACCTGGTTTGAGATTCAGTCTTGCCAAATGTCCTGTAAGCCTCTCCCCAACTTAATTTCAGAATCTCCAGGAATCTACCTTTTCCTTCAGGATTATTTTGCAGACCTCATTATTCTGCTTTAGACACCTGGCTTAACCTGTAGAACATGTCTGCCTAACAGACATGTTTTCTGTTAGCTTCATCCTTCCGCTCCAACACACAGCACAAGGCTCTGGTAGAAACCATATGCTCCTTAGAGTTTGTAGGAATAAAGCTACAAACCAACACAAGCTTGTTACAAATCCCAACGGCGATGAAGATTCTTTGCTCTTTCTCTGGGACGAACATCGAACAGCAAGGCTTTGCTGTGTGTTTGATATAGGCTGTGTTCATGGCCTAGACTGACTGATTCCATGCATTTAAACTTAAAGGCTATATCTCAGAAAGTGTTTTCACATTATGACTCCAAATCAGGAACAAAATCACCTCTCTCTTATAAAAGCATTGCAGAACAGAGTGCAAAAATCTGAACTCTGACTTCTTCCTTGAGTATAAGCTATGCAAATGTGCTGCCTAATTTAAACAGCCTCCATGTCTTTGCATATGTTAATAATCTGGTAATTACTCTACGCTTCAGGTTTGATTGATGATGAGTAGCTTGGTCAGTTTTCCCTTTTTTTTTTTTTTTTCAGCCTGGATGACTTAGATTTTTAGTTAACCAAATTGCAATCATTTATTAGTTTGAAACTATAATAAAATAATCATCTCATTAAATGAATTACTTTCTCACATTAACCCCTCGGGGCTTTGTGAATCACAATTTACTGGTTATAAGTACCTTTATGCGGAGGCTCCTTCCTTATAAAGCAAACACCCGCCTTCTAATGTCTTTAACCAACAGAGAACCTACCTCACCATCCCCGATCACTCCCACAAGTATCTTTTCATCCCCCTCTTTTTTTTCCTGGGCGGGGGAATTTATGTTTTATAGATACACAGATAAACACAGGGCATCTGGTTGGACAGACAAAAGTCAGACTCAATACCTAGGATTCAAACCGTAAATAGGGGCCCTCCTTCCCTCCAGGAACTGTAATGGGATAGTTTGTGACATTTTGTCTACAAGGCGACTGAGTTTGTCTGGGACCTTTTCTGGCCTCTATGGAAAGTACATACAGCCTAACTTGATAGGCTGACCTTGCTGGTCCTCAAAGATCTAGGGACCAAATGGTGTGTCCTGGACACTGATGAGCTGGCTTTCAGGAGTGTGTGTGTGTGTGTGTGGGGGTGTTATTTGCGTATTTGGGTTAGAAAAGGGCTACACAATAATCTTTTTGCAACACCAATGTGCACTTGTGTGAAAGAACTCAAGGGAGATCACTGTCAATTGATAGAGGGCCAGCGAAGGTGATGGCTGGAACCTTCTGCTCCTAGATGGACACTTAATTCAATGGCCAGAGAATGCCTGGGGTTTAAGGCATGCCTTCTAACACTTCCCATTAGTAAGGACAGCTGAACCTTCCACAGAGCAGATAATGTTTTATTCCATTTCAATTACTTCACAGTTTGGTCTTCCTCTCTGAGCTAGGAGGGGTGGGGAGGTATAAAAAGCTCTATTGCTTTAGGATTCTTTGATGCATCTTCGTCATAGTTCATCTAGGCTTTTCCACTCCTTTGAACTCCAGGGTCACTCTTCGGCAGCTTCCCTGATATTTTTCTGGCGAGGTGCTGGCAGGCTTGCTCAGCTTCCCACTTCTCTTCCCCGAACACAGGCTGCGACCAGCGACCCCTCTAAAGGCCAAAGTTCGGGGAACCGGGAGAGCAGGTGTCGGCTCCCCCACGTTCCTCAAACGCCCCTCATTTTGGCTGTTCACCCTAGGCTCGGGCTCCTTCCCTCCCGCGCTTGCAGTTCCGGGCTGGCGCTCCTTGGCTCGCCGAGTACCCTGCGTTAGCGAGGGCCGACGGCCCAGCACCGTGGGGCGGATGGACTGCGAGCGCCAAGACACGGCGATCGGGGAGGTGTCAGGGGAAGGCGCCGGGGCCGCGGAGGGCGGGGGTGGGGGCAAGTGCCGGGGCTGTGGCGCTTGCTGGATGCCCGGCGCGCCCGGCCACGCCCAGCCTTGCGGGATGGCGCCCACGCTGCCTCTCAGCACGCGCCCCCAGTGGCTGCCGGAGTAGAGCCAAGCCTCCTCCTCCGCGTAGCTCTCCTGGGTGCCACCTTCGGGTTCCGAGTCGGGCTCCTGCGCACAGGCCGGGGACGGCGGGGGAGTGATCGGGGCACGGAAGTAGGGGAACAGGAGCACGGCGCGCAGCCGCCGCGCGGGAGAGCAGTAGGGCAGCCGGAGAGGCAGCGACATCTGCGGGCCGGGCCGAGCGGGGCGGCGGGGAGGCCAGCCCTGTGCGCGCTCACGTCCCGCGCGGCGCTGTCACGGCCATGGAGGGACCCGGCTTCGAGTCGCCTCCGGCCTCGGGAAAGTTGGCCGGACACTTCTGAGCCCCCACCCGGAGTCACGAGGTGGAATGGAGACCCCGCGAGGCCTGTGTCCGCACCAGGTGGCGTGGGAGGGTCCGGGGCGCCGGAAGAACCAGTTTCAGCCGGAGCGGCCAGCGCAAGCCATTGACACTTCAGTCCCGGGAAGGGTTAAACCGCGTCCTGCCGCCTAGGTTTACATGTAAATAGAGAGCTGCTGCTCCGCGCGGGCCCGGGCTGGCTCTTTTAAGTTTTTGATTGGTTGCCAATGACATCACCGCCCGCGTTCTAACACACCAAACCCACAAGCGCAACTGAGCGGGCCTCCGTCCCGCGGCGGGGCCACGCCTCTTTCTCCGCCCCCTCGACCGCCCATTGGCCACAGGCCACTGTGAGGTAGCGGGCGGCGGTCTCTGGATCCTCATTGGCGCAGTGCGACGTCGCTCGGCGGCAGCCCCGCCCCCTCCGAAGCTTACATTTACGCTGTAGCAAAAGAGAAAGTAACTCTGTGTTGCTGCTGGGGATCAATGAAGCTGAGTGAATGGGGGCGCACTGCGCGAGCGCATAGCTAGAGCGGGCGCCAGATGGTGGAGGGCTGCGCTTATTGATGAAGTAAGTGGAAGTCTTCGCGGCCACTCAGAGCCCGAGGCTGGAGGGTCCCGTGTGGTTTTGTGTGTGTGTGTGTGTGTGTGTGAGAGAGAGAGAGAGAGAGAGAGACAGAGAGAGACAGAGACAGAGACAGAGACAGAGACAGATCCACATCAGGTAAGGAAGGTCCTAAGGTTTAGGCTCTTGGGTCTGTTTCCCCTGGGATGAAGGGGGAAAATGAGTTTGGGTTCCGTTAAGATGCTTTGTGGCAGTTTTCAAAGCCCAAGGCTTTGCTGATGCTCAGCGGTGGCGAGGAAGGGGGATGCTAAGTGCCCCAGGAGTGGGGAAGGAGCACTCTCTAACCACTTGGTTTTTTTCCTCCTGTCCCTGTTTAGTGGTAGAAGGGAGCCTAGCGAGGAACAGGGTAGGGGGAAAGCGCTATTTTTGTGGGAGGTTTCCCCGGGCCAGGCTGGATGGCTTTGGAGCTATCTGCTGCAAGGATGCAGATCTCGGTGCACACTCTGTGCCTGTGAGCGAGCCGCGCACTCTGTGTGGAGGTGCGGGTCCCAGCCTGTCTCTGGGAACACGTTCTTGGGTCCTGCTCCTAAGGAATGGGCTACTGATCCCGGACATCCCCTACCAGGTAACACAATAGCAAAGACTTTGACTGCATTCGTGGTCTAGCTGGGACACAGTCAAGCTTCTGGAATAGTACTCGCTCTGAAAAAAAAAAAAAAAAAAAAACTACGCAAGGAAGGCAGGGAGTGAGATGGGGAGGGACGGAGGAAGGCAGGAGGTTGGATCCTTTGCTCCCATCCAAAGGTGGGTGAGAGAAACCTGAGTCAGTGGGGCTATGCCGACCCGGGTGGGTACGTGCTCCTGTGTGTGCTTGTGTGGATTCCGCCGGTGACACTTTGGCTCGGTGTCAGAGAACGGTGACGGTCATGAGTAGACCGATGATCTATGATGTTTTTCCAGACAAATCTTAAAGTTCCTTTAGGTGAGTGGCTCTTGCTTGGGGTTTGCTTTCTTTGCTGTGTACATGTCTAGTAGAGGATTTCTAGCTGTGTTGTAGGGTGGCCTTGTGCCCAGGAAGAGGAGGGAAGTGACCCATTGCAGGCACCCTAGGGGAGGCAGAGGTAACCCCTGTGGGCACCACGTCTCAGCTTCCTAATTAGCCTGTCTGTGGTGAAGGGACAAGCGAAGTTGCCCTCATGAAATCGAATATCAGTCTAGGACTGGGAAAAAAAAATCTTTGAGAGTTGCCACTCCAATGGAGATGCAGAGTCTGTACTACCCGGATGACATCCAAACCCTTCTTTGCTTAGGGGCACAGCACAAGGAGGGGTAAGGGTAAGTGGGGCCAAGGAAGAATGGGTTATGGGTCAGCCTGGGTTGGGGTCCCAGACCTGATTCCTTTGGGGACCTGGTTTTAGGACAGTTATTCACAGTGAAAGGGGGACATACGGCTTGATTTGGAAGAGGCTCACAGAAGACATGGAAGCTTTGAATAGGACTGTGTTGAGCTTTTCAAAGGAGCCATCAGAACGGAAGGCAGATTAGCTCCTAGCCCCGGAGATTGACTTAAGAAGATACATTCCTGATTCGCAGAAAGTTGACATCTGCCCCATGCAAATTTAGCTGCCATTCATTTCTGTGGCTCTCTGTGAGCTCTGACAGGGCTCTTGCTTATCTCTTTGCCTTGGCAGTGGGTAGAGAAGTGAAATAGAATTCATGCAGGGGAGGACAAATGCATCCATCACAGGTGAAATATACCTCTGCCCAGGAGAGGAGGCTCAGAATAAATGTAAGAGCCTCCCTGCCCGTCTTCATTGTCCCCAGTTCCCTGTGCCTTTACCTTCGCTAAGGCTGAACTTTGATTCCCGTCTATGAAAGGATGCCCATTACCATTTCTAACATCACTTCCAATTTTAACCCTCCACTTAGCATCAGAATGGATGGGGTCCCTCAAGGATGCATCCTCTCGGAATGCATCAAAGTGAACTTCAGGCTTTGATAGTATCATGACCAAGGGCACCTAGAGGAGGACGTTGACTTTGCTCAGAGATATGCAGAAGTCTTTCCCAGGGATTGGATGAGACTGCCTTTTGTGTCACATGACTTTATTCTTTCTTTCCTTCTTCCCCTTCTTTACAGACTCTTGAGTTCTTCTTGAATTGCCAGTTTTCAGCCTCCTCATGCCTCCATCTCCTTTAGACGACAGGGTAGTAGTGACACTGTCTAGGCCCGTCCGACCTCAGGATCTCAACCTTTGTTTAGACTCTAGCTACCTTGGCTCTGCCACCCCAGGCAGTAATAGCCACCCTCCTGCCATTGCCACCGCCGTTGTGACCCTCAAGGCTGCGAATCTGACGTATATGCCCTCATCCAGCGGCTCTGCCCGCTCCCTGAATTGTGGATGCAGCAGTACTAGCTGCTGCACTGTGGCAACCTACGACAAGGATCACCAGACCCAGACTCAAGCCATTGCAGCAGGCACAGCCACCAGCGCCATAGGAACCTCGACCACCTGCCCTGCTAACCAGATGGTCAATAATAGTGAGAACACAGGCTCTCTAAGTCCAGCGGGTGGGGTGGGCAGCCCTGTGTCAGGGACTCCCAAGCAGCTAGCCAGCATCAAAATCATCTACCCCAATGACCTGGCGAAGAAGATGACCAAATGCAGCAAGAGTCACCTGTCCAGCCAGGGTCCTGTCATCATTGACTGCAGGCCTTTCATGGAGTACAACAAGAGTCATATCCAAGGAGCTGTCCACATTAACTGTGCCGATAAGATCAGCCGGCGGAGGCTGCAGCAGGGCAAGATCACTGTCTTAGACTTGATTTCCTGTAGGGAAGGCAAAGACTCTTTCAAGAGGATCTTTTCCAAAGAAATTATAGTTTATGATGAGAATACGAATGAGCCGAGCCGAGTGACGCCGTCCCAGCCACTTCACGTAGTCCTCGAATCCCTGAAGAGAGAAGGCAAAGAGCCCGTGGTGTTGAAAGGTAATGACCCCCAACTCCTTTCCCAAATACCATTCCGATCAGTTAGCTTCCCTCCTGTGGTTCTCTGAGAAGTGGCAGCCTTCTCTTTCCCCCTCCCAGACCCCATGAACCAAAATAGTCAGTCCTCTTTTCTTCTCTCCATTTCTTTTTATTTTAGTATAGTAAGAAAATCCAAGTAGCAATGAGTTGATATCCAGAGCTGAATTCCCAGCCTGGATCTGACTTCTGTCTTGCCTAAGACATTTCACCTGAGAGGGTTTTCAAAAGATGCTTTGTACAGCCAAGGTGGTATATCTCAGTCAGGGCTTCTCTGGGAGCTCTATTTCAGTCTGTGAGTGGTTGGAAAGTCTGTGTTCCTCAAGAACTAACTAATGCTGATGGCCCAAAAGAGGCAGTAAATAAATCTGCAGGTGCCAGTTGTTTGTGTGAGGAACTCTCACTGTTTCTCACCAGTCTGATTATCTTGACTTTCACATTGTTTATAAAGTTATCTTCAATGAGGGCAGAAAATTTTGTTTTAAAGCCATATTGAAATTGTGACTTCTCCAAATACATCCATTCCTTGAGGAAAGCTCCGAGGGGATGGAGATATGAACTGCCCTACAACCTTTTGTTCTCTCTGGTGTTACCTGACAACAGTTGGCTTCTGGTTCTTCCCGAGAAGGAGTCACGCATCAGTTTCCCCTAACGTGGTGGTTGGAACCCCCAAAAGGATTGAACGACCCTCTCTTCTCTGATCTTCCACACAGTGTTGCCCTGACCTTGGGCACGTCCCGCTTGCTCATCTTTGTCTTCCAACACCGTCCTTCTGGGCTCTAAGCGTTACTCTTCTGATAATGTCTACCTGGGCATGATGGAAACCACCTTTGTGTTTTGAGCCACTGGGGAGTGGGGCATGTCACATCTTCAATGTCCTAAAGTGGTGTTGATCATCAGTGTTGCTGGGTTCCGTTGAGCGCTTTTCCTGTTGAAGTTGGAACAGGCTGCTTAGGTAAGCAAGCAAGGATTTGTCTTGGTGGGACAGCTCTACCCATGCTTCTTTTCTCCCAAGTGACTTTTGTAGTGGGCAGTGCTCTTAGAAGCATGGCGTAGTCACCCTTTGCTTTGCGGTGTTCCTTCCCACTCTCTGCTCCTTTGCTGTCTTGGCAGACAATTGTCACAAAGACACAGCTTTCCTTGGGGACATGTGGGTTCTCCATTCTAGGGCACTGTTATGATGGTGGCAGTAAGTCTCCTTAGAGTCACAAGTGTGTCAGGGTTCTGTGGTGTGGCTCTGGTCTTTACTTCGGAATTCTTGTTTGGTTGACTTTTAGAATCCCCGAATGGCTTTCACCCCACTGGTCTTCTCCCAGCGTGATCTTGTCTTGTCTTTTTTTGCAGATGAGAAAACACCATCTACAAATTCCCCAACTCTTAACACTTTGTCTTGGCTAACCAAGACAAACAGCTTTCAGGCTTCTTTTTTTCCTCCTGTAGTCGGGATAGGTTTAGTAAACATCAGCCCTTTTCGTATAGGTAATCTAAGAAGAGTTAGCAAGTCCCTCACTTTAAGATGATTCTGAACTTGCACATGGGGCTGATTGTGAGCTGTAGTGGATCCTACCCTCTCGCTTGCTATGGAGCTTGGTGGGCAAAGGGGTGGCCCATCAGTTGCTGAGAAATGTCTCTTCTGGGGACCAGTGAAGAAGAAGGGGCTCCTCTCCCCATTTCCTATAGACACTTCTGAGGAT